GCGATCGATGTCAGGGCAAGTTCTTGTTCCCCTGGTGAAGGGCCTAGCAACGACTCATCTGAGATGATCACTTTAACTGCCGTCTTGACGGAAGCGATGGTGTCACCGAGCATAGCGAATGCTTCAACTGTAAGAAGTTTCCTATCAGCAACAACACGGCGCAAATCGGTCGAGAGCCTCTGACGACCAAAGATTTGGCGTAAGGCCAGCTCAGGGGTCCTATCAGGATCATAAGTGGTACGATCGACCATGAGTGCGCGCGTCGAGCCCGGTGCAAGTTGCTTGAACAAAAAAACTTCGGCACACAAGAAAAAGGCTGCGGATGAAACCAAACGACCGACCCCCGCTCGTGACCGACGATGAAGCCCCGAAGCGAGCCAGGGAGACCTCACGCAGAAGGTGCAACCCGAGCAGGATCAAGATCGTGAAAAGAAACGACCTCTGGCCTCGCCTTAGCACAAGCCTTGCAGAGAACGTTCGTGTCCGGGAGGACTTCACCGACCGATGAACAGTCCGTCAAGGCGAACTTGTTGCATGCAGTGAACTCTTCATTCGAACGAGAGTTGCAATGATACTTGTACTCGTACGAGGAACCCGTCGACGGCTTTTTGATGAAGAACTTGAGGATCCCGAGGTCCGCATCCGGAGCATCAAGGAACAGAGTGTCCTCGTTCTCTTGTGCTGGGTGCGACTCTTGAACAAGATCTTTGACGAGCTGCTTCACCATCAAAGCTGCAACTGCCGAGCGGTTTCTGGTATATTTGAGGACCAGCGGGCCAGGGTTCTTCCAATTGGCCTGAAGTTCAATTTCTTCAGTCGATCGACCTGCGTGAACTGCTGCGTCAAGCAACGTAACACGACATGAATGCATGGTGAGCTTGCTGATCTGAAAAGCGCACTCGACCTGTTCTGTCTTCTCAAGCTGATGAGCTTCATCGACTGCCTTCCGACTGAGGAACTTCATCCACTGTAAGGTGCGAGCGAACGTGGGTGGTACTGTCTGAAAAGATGCCTGTGTGTTGAGCTCAGGGATCCAAAAATCTCGATCCAGGTTGGGCAAGGTCTTGAACAAAGCCCAGCCAACTTCAAGCCACGTCGAGCATGAAAAGCCGATATTCGGTACGACGAAGCGAGTGCCCACACGTTTCCGCTCGACCTTCGTTTGCCAAGACACCCCGAAGAGTCCTTCCTCTTTCATCTCCAGCTCGAGAGGCCTGACGTGGATGGCATCGTCGAATCGGAGGGAGGCGAAGATCATACAAAGGATCCACCAAATGAACACTCTAGCTGCCGTAGGGCGCTTGTCGTCAAGCACCGCCTCCTCGAGCAAAGAAACTACCCGAAGTGGGAAAGGTATGGCTTCCTTGAGGGTCTTTGCACGATCGGCCATGACTGTAGCTTGGAGTGCAAGGAAACGATGGTCCTCGAAACTGGGGGGATCGATAGCTAACCGAGCACACACCCACTTCACGGCAGCTCGAAAGGTAGGAAGCACTGAAGGTCCGCTCACGAGCGTTCAAAAAGAGGCCGTACTTCAGAACCTTGTCGAGCGGGCAAAACGAACCGTCGAGAGTGCTTGCCCACCTTTCAAAACGTTCGAACGTCTTCACATGAGCAGCCATAGTTCTATGAGCACCTGAAACCAAGACCAAGTTCCTGACCTGAATCTTCTCGGCTGGTGAAAGATCAGGGCCGAGTTGAAATTCATGGAACAACTTGGCATGAACACCCGCACGCAACCCGATCTCCTCAAGTCGAGCTGCCCACCGCCTCTTCTCCGATTTCTCACGATCGAGTAAAGGCGTAGTGGACGAAGACGCCTCTTCTGGCCCTTTCTTCGAACGTTTCGGATGAGACACAGGCTTTAAGGTTAGAGCTGCAATCGCTGCTCGCTTTCTCAGCGACGCTGTTGGATCTTCTGGTCGAGCGACCACTGCTGACTCACAAAGGCCGAAACCGAGTTGTACGGCAGTGGACTCGAAATAAGCTTTTTCAACCGAAGAGGCAAGTGTCCAGAATTGTTCCAACATGAGCTCCCTTCCCTCAAACACGGTCGCGATCGATTCGTCCAAAGTCCGTGCAAAATGAAGCGTCCGATCGACAAACTCGAGCCCGTTCGCAACCTCCATCGCTGATACGAATGCCAGGTTGCCCAAAGGCGACCTCTTCACCGCCTGAGCAAATGCGACATCGAACACGGGCAAATCGAGGATGCGCGAAACCCACCGATCGGTGGTGCCTGACATCGCCGGCTTTCGAGCCTGAAACGACAAGCAAGGTTCACATCGAGCGATCGGACTCGAGCGATACATGGTGCGTGAAAAGAGCTCCCACGCTCACGTGAAGAAGAATCTCAAATTGAAAAACTTATGATCACTTGATGTGCAAAATGAAAGTTCTCTCTCATCTCAAACACTAGTGTTGATCAAATCAAAACAAATCAAATTCTACCCCGAGAGGGAAACATCAGACCAAGAGTGTGCAGCGCCTGCTACATGTTAAGTACGACAGGTGCGAGCGCCACTCTGGTGAGAGACCCTCTGGGGTCCCACAGCCCTCCCAGCTGAGAATCTTGCCTCACACGCGAGCGCGTTCTTACGAGGGTCTCGAAGTGCCGATCGGCGTGATCGAGTGCACAAATCAAGACACAACTGCAAGAACTGCTGCAAACAGAAATGAGGTCAAAAAGGAAATCTTCAACACTCGACCGAATTGTTTGAAAGTTTCTTGGCTCAAGCGAACTTTCACCTTCTTCGAGCTGGTTGAAGAACCTGCTAATTGAAATTGGAACGATCAAAAGCCGCTCGACTTTAGACATCTGTCACATCTGGCCGAGCCGGGGTAAAAGATTTGGGCCGTCGATCGCCCTGATCTTCTTCCACCTCATTGATCCTCACCGTAGAGGTCTGAGCAGACCTCTGAGGGGGATGACTCCCAAACCGGCGGGCAGCGTCGACGAACGCCTGAGGTGTCATGGCAGAATGATCAAGGCTGTCAGCCCTGCGCTGATCCAGCGTCCTCCTCGATGGAGCCAAAGAACCCCCAGTCCAGGAGCTCGGCGTGGGCGATTGCCCTGGAGCTGTAATCGATGGAGCCACGCTGCTGACCGGCACAGGACCTGCCGAGAATTCTGACGGAGCCTGAGGATTAGATAGGGCTGGAGCCAGCTTGGGAGCACCATCCAAAGGCCGCACTGTCGGACCGTCCACAAGTGGTGGTACGATACTTGCGACGACCTCATCCAACGGATCGTGCGATTGCAGAGCGAGAGCTTCAGCCTTCACGATCACCCTGTCCTTCTTGAAGAAAGGAGACTCGCAGACGAGGTGCAAGTTGAGGGCATTAATCAATTGGACTCGACAGGGATCGCTGATACCCGCGGGCCCGTGTCCTCCTCCGTGGTGGCCTCGGTCTTCGCCGTCCAGTGAGCATGGATTGCGGCGAGCTGCGCAAATTGTAGGGCTTGATCAGGACTCTCGACCCTGGCACCATGCTCACGTCCCCAAGAGGCGCTTCTGATCAAAGTAGGTCCTGAAACCCTGCTGAACACAAGCCACGATGGTGGTACGCAGGCCAGACTTGCACTGACGTCAAGCCGATCGGCAGCTGAGAGAAATCGGAATTCCAATCTATCTGCGTCGGCTCCGAACGAGTCAGGCGACGACGTGGCCACGAAGCGGCATTCGAAGTGGCATAGAGGAAAGTCTAGTGCCACAACGATGCCTCCTTCAGAGCACAGATATAGGCGACCGCCAACCTCCCATGAACATGCTATCACTCTCCAGCCTTGGAAGACCGTGACCACGATCGATGGGATGAGCGCACCATGAAAAGGCTGAAGTGGTAGCCACTTGAAGGAGATCTCACCAGGGATCTGTCAGACTTGATGTTCACATAGGACAACGCGTTGGTGAGCACCTCATCGATCAGCCAGCCTTGGAATGGGCTCTGAATACGATTGTCACGATTGTCCATGATCAAGACTGAGCGCTCCCCTTCGTTGGAGCCAACTTGAGAAAGGTGACCAGGGAGCTGTGTATTGAGCGGATTGTGGGCTAGGTCTCCTGGAGACATTTGGCCCCACCTGAAAGCTCGTCTGCCTCTGCGAGCCGCTTGTTCTTGTTGGCGACGAAGGCGCCTCGAGGCAGGAACTTCATTTGCATGACCCAGTATGCTCTGAGCCGCTTGCACTGCAGGAGCCGCATTGGTCGCCGGTGGGAAACTTGAAGAAGGTCCACCAGGAGGTGGTGGTGGAGGCACAACATTGGGCTGAGCAGCTTGTGTGGCTTCAGAACCGGGAGGTTGAAGAACCTGTTGATCCTCAGGCACTTGAGGCATAGAACGAGCTCCAAGACCATGAGCATCCTCATCCAAACGACACCATGAACTCACAGAGCTGGAGTCGTCCCATCGAGCCGAAGCATTAAGTGCCTGTCTTTGAAGAGCTGCAGGTTGACCACGGCTGGAGCCGCTTTCGAAGGGATCTCGCTCTGAACAGAGCTGCTTGATGCCATGGCACGATCGAAGAAAACCCCAGGCCCGTTGACCTGAAAAGCGAATGAATTTCCTGGCGAGCGTGCCACCCTTTTCGCCAAAATGGCAGACGGTCGTCACGAAACTGAATAGTTTAAAAATAAAGAAGTGAATTACCGAAAGGTTACCTGAACAGTTCTCTAGAGAGTGACACTGGTGTCCCAAGCCTACCTAGCCGATAACACCAGCCCAATGTATAACGACTTCTTAGAAACCACATCCAAAGGTATCCAAAAAGCACTAAATCAGTACCAAATGTTGCCCAAAACATCCAAACTGATAAAACATCCCTCAAGGCATTGCAACCAAAAAGAACTGCAAAACACGTCAAACAACACATGGCAAAGACCTCCAAACAAATGGATTTTTCGTTCATGTCCACCTCCTTCTTCGGTTCCGCTTCTTCGGCCTTTCCCCGGGACCGACCCGACCTCGGCTCCACGGCTCGGAGCGACCGCTCTCCGCGCCTCGGCGTGGCCGCCCTTCGCCTCCAAAAGGAGCGCGAGACTGAAGACGGAGTTCAGGGTGTCCGGATGACCGGCTCCCAGTTGAGCGTCTTTTCCTGCCAGCGCCCTTCGGTAAAGGCCTTCGGCATCTTGGAGCTTGCCCTGCTGATACAGCAACACCGCAAGATTGTGGACAGACGTCAATGTGTCCGGATGATGAGCTCCCAGTTGAGCTTCAAAGCCTGCCAAAGCCCTTCTGTAAAGGCCTTCGGCCTCGTCGCGCTTGCCCTGGTAGTTCAGCACCAACGCAAGATTGTTGACAGACCCCAACGTGTCCGGATGCATACGCCCGAGCAGCCTCTCCCGTCCCTCCAAACCTCTCCTGGAAAACAGCTCAGCCTCTTTCAGTTTCCCCTGCCGCCTCAAGACTAACCCGAGATCGTTCACCGACTCCAGGGTCTCCGCATGCATCTCTCCCAGCACACGTTCACGTCCGATCACAGCTCTTCTGCACAAAGTCTCAGCCTCCGCCAGGTTCCCTGCGTAATACATCGTCTCCATCAGTTTGTGCACCTCTCTGAGGGTCGCCGTTTCGTAATTCGCCAGGACTCGCCGGCACAGCGGCTCCGCCTTGGCACAGTCACCGCGCGCCGTCAGCGCGTTGGCCAACCTCGGGGCGACGGGGGGCGCAAGGGCCGAAATTTTGCAGTATTCCAAAAGAATGCTGAAAATGAGTGGAAATTTACATCGACTATCTGCTTTAGCTTTAGTTCATAATCTTGATTAATTACATTACATTGTCTGGTTGGTGAAAAGACCAAGGCCCCAGCCGGCTTGATGCCTTGAGGGTTTCAAAATGCTCTGATCCCAGTCTCTCTTCGATAGCTTTGGCACGGCAGCGGACCCTTGGCTAGAGAAAAACTCACCGAAAAATGGGTTGAACGTTGGGCTACAGCGTGTTCTGTCCAGAATGCAAAGCTTGGCAGTAGTGGATGGAACTCCTTGCAACTCATGTTTTTGGAACCCTGACTCAAACAGTCTCAGCCGCAGCATACAAATTTCTAGATGGTAAATGATTGGTTTCTCATCGCAAACAAGCATCGCTTCCATCAGCACTGCCCTGGCATTGCCAACCTCCTCCTCCGTGTCTACTCGAATGACGAAACACTGTCGAGGCGGCATACCATCTTCGTTGAGCGGCATTCCAGCTAAATTCCTCGGCAGAAATTAGCCCAGTATATCATTCCCCAGGCAATGTAAATCTAACAGCGGTCCCACTGTCACTGTATCACGCAGTCACATCTAGGAGATGCAAACATACGCAAACTAGGTGTGCGGCACACCAACGGGCTTTCCCTGTCAAAAGAGAGACTGGCGACAGGCAAAAGTAATCTTGCACTCCTCCAAACAAACCTTGAGCTGCCAAAGACATACACAACTAGTGGTTGGAATCCGCCCCTCCACTTTGCCTGCTTGACCATTTCAGGCGTTCGTCTCTTCGACACATCATAGGCCATGGATGCGTTGACGAGGATGGGGATGCAGAAGGACACCCGCGATCTGTATTCCTCTGTCACAAGATTTGAAGAGGCATCTTCTGGTGACTGAATCACGCCGCAGCAAAAGGACATCAAGGAACAACCAGGAGCTCTCCTTCACAGCTGCCTCACGACCCTTCAAGTCAATGTCGCGCTTGAGCATCCTCCTATAGTTGTTATCTAGCAGTCTTTCGAGATTGGGCCACTCATCTGGGGGCTTCTGTACGGAGTAAACTCCTGGCACGTGCAAGTCTCTCATACAAGTGTTCATGTGAGTGAGTGCACCTCCACAGTTCCTTCATGTTCCTTCTCTGCTCTTCACTTTTGCATGAACTGTGAGAAACTCTGTGTTCACTTTCTGGTATGCATTTCTGATCTGATCAAGGTTTTTGTTTCAATTGCAATCGGCAAGTAAACAGTCCTGCCCCCCACCAAGCGTTGGCCTTCTCACCGGTCGTTATCAGAGAAGCCTGCGGATATGCAAACGCCGGCAGCTGACTAAAAGGAATGCCTGAAATCAAAGACATGGACTTTTACATAAGCTTCATGAATGCTGAGGGCATCGCGAAGAGTTCCACTGCCGTCTTCCTCAAATCCGTAATATTTTTAAAGCCAAGCTCGTTGGTGTAGTGGAACAAACATTGCACATCGCTGGCATCGTCGGCTTGAGTCAAGTCAAGGGCATCCTGCCAGACCTGAGAGAAACTTCTGTGGCTTCGTATCTCAGCAGGTGTGCAATGTGTGTCAAACAAGAACAAATGCCACGCAAAAAGTGTACATGCATGTTCCATCATTTTCCCATGGCACCTTCACATCCAGTCTGGTGTGGAGCCAGCACCAGTCTTTCGGGTCATGCCGGTACTCTTCATGATCGAACAAACGGCCTTGCTTGTAGTTTTTCTCAAAATAATCTTTCAGACTGGCCTGGGGCAAGGCAGTGAGCCACTTGCGCAAAAGAGTTGCAAGAAGATTGACTGGACTTCTGCGTACTCTTGAAAGCCTTGAAAGCCCACTGAGTTTTGAAGTCACACTCCCGCGATCACCGCAGCGGCACACTATCAGCGATGCTTGCAACAAGACCATAAAAGGGAGGGGTAAGTGTAACTTGGCTCAAATAGATTCGAACGTTAGGCAAGGAATTGCACACGTTAGAGCTCGCTTGAAACTCAGAAGATTCCGAAGCATCGACAACGCTTGAAGTCCCAGAATTTGAGCCCAAGCCTTGGAAACTTTAGGCACCTTGCAAGAAAACGTGCGCACTTTGTACGTATCGGTGTGCTCTTCAAGATCTAAACAAAGTGTGTGTGTGTGTGTGTGCGTGGGCGTTGAAGCTGGCTGTAGTCGAGTCTAAAAGTTGGTCTTCGCATCTCTGTGCACGTGTGTCGTGTGAAATCCTCATCAACACACCTTGTGAAGTATCAATGTGCAAAGCAAAGCAATCGTCCCCATGCTGCACTCTTTAGCTAACGGAGCAAATGGAAGAAAAAACACCAGCGAAACACGAGCGCCGTCTCCAGTCTCTCCGCCTCGGCTTCGGAGGCGCCGGTCTCGGCTTCGGTCCGCTGCTCCTGGGCTCTCGGTCTTGCCAAACGAGGTTTCGGTGCTTACGTTGCATCTCAAGGAAGAACAGCTGAGGTAGACCCAAAGGAGAACTCCAAACCAGGCAGCAGACCAACCGTTTCGAGTGACTACGGACGCGGTATGAAAGTAGTATGTAAAATGTATGACGTATCTTTCCAAGCCAAACTCTTGATCCCCTGATTATTCTGCATCCGCTTCGCACCCGATCCGCGTGCTTCCCCCGGAATGCGGGCAGATCGGTGGAATGTCTGATGCCAACACGCTTCCGGCGGATCACGGTGGATCTCGGAAAAGCTGCAGTTGTTCGGTAGTCTACACCCTACAGCAAGGCGCTGTCAACATGAGCCACCGCTACTTTGAAAATGGCATGTCAACACTTGTTGAGATATCTGATGGTCCCTGCCTTGGTCTCTTTTTGAGCTTCCTTTGGCCTGCTCAGTTGTTCCTTCCGCACCTGTCAATTTGAATGTACAGTGGTCGGTAGAATGTCCAGATTGTCACTGCACATGTTTGCAGCCATGTCTAGCCAGGTCGGACATTGGACCACAAGAAATGAAAACACCCAGGCAAAGGTGCAGAACTAAGAAGGCGAGGAACCTACAATATGTAGCAACTACCTAGCAGTTGAGTGCGAGCCAAAAGTCGTCTGGGCAATTTCAGACAAATGTCATCGGTTGATGGTTGTAAACAGGTCAAGTCATAAGAGTCAGGAAATAGCAAACACAACGATTCGCCAATCACTTCAGGCTGCTTCCAGCGAGGCACCATAGAACAACATGCTGGAGGAAGAAAAGGACAATAGGTATGCAACGAGTAGCTGCAACATGCTTCAGCACAAGTCATCTACTTTGTCTCATCCTTGGAACAAGCCAAGGGAATCCAAAATACAAGCAAAACCCTTGTGGCAAATACGCTTGTGTGTGCCCGTGTCTTCGCCTTAACCTCCTTTCCATTGCTGGACGAGCTCGGCTCCTCATTCTGCGCCTGGAGGAAAGCGAACGGCTTCAAGAGTTAGGGGAAAAGCTCCTTGTCTTGATGTTCAAGCTCCATGTCCATACGGCTCATGTGGACTTGTTGCTGCGCTGGATGCCACCCACTAGAAACAAGCTGAGACTTTACCTGCAGGCGAAGGACACGATGCCACGTCGTACAGACCAACAAGAGTGGATTGTAGATCATTGGCGGCCCAAAAACTTCCTTTTTTGCTCACCAGCTCTCGTGAACGCTATAAGTGCACGCAGGAATTCCCTTTGCGACGCCTCAAATCTTGAAGGCTCCTTCACATCCCTCCCTTCTCTCACACGGCTTTCGGCTTTGTGTACCTTACCGGGCATTCACCAGAGTCAATAAAGGCATCTGGTGTTGCGACGCAATATCATCAAATATCAATACATATCAATACTAGGCAGTGAGGCAAAGAAAACTATCAAGGACAGTCTGTTGACGTTACCCTGAACCTGAGAGCGTGTGCATGAAGAGCAAGCACCACACGTTGTTAAGAATTGCACCTCACCTTCATGCACTTTCTTGCTTGTTTAGCATGTTTGTGTACAGTCGTTGAGCAGTGAAACAAAAGACATCTTTCATAGCGGTGTGTATTGTTGGTCGAGTCAATTCCAACAACCTTAGCTTGCAACAACATGTGTAGTATGTTACTTAAGTAGGAGAAAGAAAACAACGTTTATTGTGTTCGCAAAAATGCTCTTTAGGATGCCCATGAACACAAACATGCTAAAGTATTGCGCAAAGCATGACATTCACTGGAACAACAAGTCTTAAAGCACCGCGCGCACAGCAGAAGACAGAGAATGGTGCACCCTGCAAGTCGTTTTGTTGAAGAGAATCACTGCAGTCCACCATAGGAGAGATTCGCACGGCCGTTTTGTGGCAAAAGACAACCAAGCACATCTACTAATCACAAGCACGCAGCAAAAGCATTCTGTAATATTATATATTTATCTTTATACCGTAAGCTCTTTGCATCTCGTCCGATCATTTAGAAGTTGCAACAGTTGGATTCTGGCCCGTGGTGGATGCTTTTCTGCTGCAAAAAATAAACCTCCCACTGTGCACCTCGGAGGTGAAGAGGATATCCAAGAAGTCTTTCACGCCTCAAGACTTGGTTGGTTACACCAGCTGTCTTGTTGCGCGCGCTTTCAGCTGGGCATCTCATCACTATTTGTTAGACAGGAGATTCTCCTTGTGGACTACTCTTGCCCATCCCTGCCAAGCTGCGAATCTGTGAGTCTTCTGGGTAGTCCTGCGGATCGGTCAGGGCTGCACCCAGCAAGCCAAACAGCGAGAGGAGACCAACCTAGGGCCCTAGGGTGAAATGTGATGAGTTGACAGACTCGAAGAGTTCCTTCCTGGTTCCTCCCACAGATATGTGAAAATCTCCTGCAGAAGGACATGGGCCTCCTGCAATGTGCCACAAATATCTTGAATAATGTCGATGTAGCCTTAGGCTTGGACAGCTGATGGACTGTCGATTGGTGTCCAAATTAATTTGATGCAACAAAACGTCTGGAACACTCGCCACCAGGCCAAACAAAGTCCAAGTCAGCTGCTAGTAGCGCTGAAGAGCAGTTTATTAAACAAAGATGTGTTAGAATATCAACATCGACTCCTCCCAAACGCGCTCGAGTTTTACACCCCAAATTAAAATCCAGCTATGCTTGGCCCAAGCTCAAAGCTCCGACGCAACCTTGAAATGTCTCCCAAAAACCGAGGAGCTTTGCCGTTCCAGCGAAAGGCCATCGCCGCCACCTCCACGTGCCATCGCCTCGAAGATTGCTTCCACCTGCCCACGCAACTCCTCGGGATCCGCGGAGGATTGGACGAAACGACAAGATCTGAAGACAGCGGGCTTGAGGACGTTGATTTTAGGATCTCCTTGGGATCCTAAAAGCAAATCAAACAAAAAGGGAAGTTGCAAGGTAGACTCTTGAAGTGCTTGAGGCTTTTGAAAGGGGTTTGAGCTCTTTGCAAAACATGACCCTCTCTTGAGTCCTAATTACTTGTAACTTGTGACCAAGTGGCAGACATGCTTTCCAAAACCCACCCAGCACTTCTGCCTGCAAGGCAAACTTGCTCTGCACCAAGCTAACTGTTCAACTAAGTGAACTTGGACACTTGAGCAGGTACTGGCAGTATAATGAAAACCCTTACTGGTTCAAAGTAGATCAAAGTAGAGTAACAGCCGCAAATCTGCGAATCTTTGTGGAAGTATTCTCTTTGCACGGCTCCAAAGGCAGTGAAGAGCCGGGCATTCCCAGCACATTCCGAAACGAAGGAAGAAGGCCTTGTGAGCCAGTCTTGACATATGGGTTGACAAAAATTGAAAAATGAAATGGACTAGAAGAGTGCGCTCGAGTTTCCGGTGGCATCTTATGGATCTAGGAGGTGAAGTCAATGCCCTTCTCTCCTTTTCCCTCTGGGCTGTTAGTGGCGGTCCCCAAAAATAACTTCGGACAGGAATTACTCGGATGCGATTGGACAGCTTGCGCCAGTCACATCTCTCGATCGATTCGTGAGGCTTCGATGAGGTACAAACACTCCACTTCTTCCGGGAAGCAAAAACATAGGGACTCAATCAGGTTCATGGCTGGCATGCAAGCTTTTGGAGCTTTGTCCGGCCTTTCTAGCGCCATCTCCTTGGAAAACATCGGTAACGTACCGAGAGTTCGCAGTAGCCAGGGACTTTTCGTTGTCCTTCTCAAGCAAGGCTGGTCTCGGCTAGAGTGCTATGACACGGGCCGGAAGCTTCGAAGCTGGTAATGTTGACACAGGATTAAGTAACCACCCCCTATTAATCAATTCCAGCTCGACCCCCCCAATACTAAACTAATTGAAAACCTAGATTTCCACCTTGGCATCACCCTAGTAAGTGTTTTCTCTACCAGAAACCTCCCCCTATTAATCAATCCCAGTTCCCCCAGAAACAAATGTTTTATATATTATATCTATTCTATTTTTGTGTTTTATTTGTTTTCTGGTCAACTCTATTTGATCTCTTATCAAACTTGTGCAAATACACTTAGAGGACTCATGGTTCTCATGGTTCAATCTCTCATGACACAGAATCCCATCAACCATCATCCATGATCAGGTCCAGGTCCTCATCTCATCATCCATCATCAGGTCATCATCTTTATTAAGGGGATGTAGTCCTCAGATACCTCCAATCTCAGACCTTGTTGACCTTGAAGAGGGGGGCCGTTTATTAATCCGGTGTCTAGATTAGAAACCAAATGGTGTGATGCAACATGATGTAAGAACCCACGCTCCTGCTTGAGCACTTAAATCACAACAATAACAAGGTAATTATACCTGTTCTGTACTTGTCTCAAACTCCACCTCCAGGAACGCCACAACCGTCAAATGAGAAACATCTAACATCTCCCAAGTCCCACACCGAGCCTGAGCGGCTTTGAGCACCTCGTTGCGCCACACCTCCGATCGCCGAGCCTGGGCGAGTGGAATCGGTCCCAAAACAATCGTCGTAGGCGGTTTGTAAACACGATTCACAACAACACAAAGGGCCACCTGCTCAGCCATTCATACATACCTCTTCAAAATGCAAAAGGACCCAAACTTAATAACGTGAAGATCAACAGCACAACACTTGGCACGTTGGAAGACCACAAGAGCCCAAGCTCTTTCCGCAGCTGAGCCCCTTGCCATTCTGGGAGTGTGCATCGGCCGGTTCAGCTGCCTTGCAACCAGGCACACCCTGGGTGCGTTAAACATCCATTTGGCAACGAATCAGTGTTTCATTTCTCATACTACCTTCAACCTTCCTACTGACAGTGTTAAAACATGGATAAAACCGACTCTCCCAATCAAAGCCTTAAAGCCTTCCGAGACCATTTCATGAATTTCTCACGTCTCATCCAAAACGGCTCGGCCGCACCTCGCTGGGGACCACAGCGGTGAAGTTGCTGCCATGCTGCGCCGCCTGCGCTGGCCGCGCCGAGCCGCCACTGCCCATGGCCTGGTCGCAGGGGCCAAAGCATGCGTCGTTGAGTTCTTGGGAAAAAGGAACCGAACTGAGGTTGAACCTTCCAACTAAAGGGGACATAGGGGGCAATGTATTCCAAATGAAATGCATGTTCTTTAGGATCGGGAAAGTGGTGCGGTTTCTTTCATATCAATCTTCATTGGGGGTCTGGTGCTCTTCAGGCATTGTCTGCCATCTGCTCCAACGCATGGTCCCTCTGTTCATCCCATGTACACCCGACTATGCAATACTGGTGGACGCTGCTGGTATGAGTTCCACAACTTGGAAGACGCTTTTGAAAATCCACGCTGCAAACCACCGTAAACTATGCCAGTTCCAACATATCCCACTTGGCAACTTTGGGCCAGCAAGAATGTTGGAGAAATCCTTACGAAGAACGGTCCATGGGCTCTGATATGGTTCTGAGCTCCAACTTCGCTGCAATACTACATAGCCTCCCCTCACATATATCAAAACATCAACAAGCGCTTCTCCCAACTGTGTGTTTCACGCACCCTGCTACCTATGTGGCCTGTCTAATCTCCGAACGTCTTTGGACCCGGTCCAACCGCTTTGGGCCCGTCCCTCGCCACGAGCGCCCAGCGGAGCGCAGCCTGGCTGCGCCCCGGAGATCAGCGGTCCAGCCGAGCCGACGGCGCTGCCGGCGATCAGCGCCCAAGGACGGTGATCAGACCGATGTGGAGCAAAAGAACCGGGTGTTTTCTAGTTTTTGGGGCGGAGAGGGTTTGGCGTTTGAGATGCTTTTGATCAGAGAATTCCGGAAGGTGCGTGGAAGTGGATGAGGCAATTCACTTGAGGTCTTTCATTTTTTAGAGGGCCCACCCCCCTCCCAGAGCAGCAACTTAATTTGATACTTTAGTGAGTAGTTCTTTAGAAGCATCATCCGATGGCTTGCTTTCAGGTTACATCATCTGAAAACCCTCTTGAGAAACAACTTATGGGAGTGGAACATCTGCCCAAAGTCCCAGGTGAAGCCAAGCCTTCACCTAAAAGGAAAAAGATGTTCATACTTACGTGGTCTACAAATTGGAAACAAGATGAGGAAACCACTGTGTCTGTGCCCTCAAGGACTCCTCAAGTTCCCAAAACATAGAGTTTCTCCGCTGGCGGAAGGGAAACATATCATGTTGTCGGCTACGTTCGTTCGAAACGAGATTGGGAAACCCCTGTGTTTTGTGCCTCAGTCCTCAGGGACTTTCCGAGTTAACATAAAGTTTCTCTGTTGGTGTTTGGGCCAAAGCTTTGAACTGCAAGTTGCTTGCCTCAAGGGGAAGAAATGCTAAATTGAAAGCATGCATATTCTCCATTAAGTTCTGCTACTGTAGGCTTGCGACAACAGTGCCCTTGCCGTGAACTTTGTGAGCTACCAGCTACCAGTACTGAAGAAACCAAATCCCAGGTGAGTAGATTGTGTAGGTGTCGTGCTTTCGCTGCGTTGTTGCTGCAACTGCAACTCGAGAAGTGCTGCTGATGCTGCGGTGCGCAATCGCATTTCTCTCCACACGCTCTCAGAAACAGTTGGGGATCAGACAGCAGACCGGTCGTCTTGTTCACCCAACTCGAACGGCCGGAGGTCGTCAACGTCAATGGATTGGTGGCACCAACAGTGACACACCCCAGCGGAACATCCGCCTCAAGAGACCCACATCTTCGGGCGGAATGGTGGTGCGACATGTCACTGCTATCAGGTCAATTCGACCCGTTTTAGCTGGAGAAAAGGCAAGGCCCCAAATGCATCAAGAAAAAGGATCCTTGTAGAAAATCCCTGCAGTATCCTGCAGTCCTTTATGTATGTGCAGTCGCAGTGTGGGAATCCTGGTGAACCAGGGCTTTCGGTGTGGCACAGCGGCCTGGGGAACTTCGACCAAGGTTGCGCCCCCCCTGCATCTGTCGAGACCTCCAACCGCACCGGATCCATGTCGGAAGAAACTTCACTGTCTGGATCCCCCGAGTGGATTCCAAGGACCCGAGTGCACTGCATGGTGAAGGAAGAAACTTTTGGGAGGATGGCGCACCCAACTCCTTACCCTGGACCACCCAGCATTTGGGCGGCTTGGAGTCGGCATTGGTCGCATTTGAAAAGAGACATATCAGATCGGAGTCTCTCGGGGGGGGGGGTTGTGAGGCGGTGCAGGAGTTGGTCAGGGAAATCCCAGCAATATGTGGGTCCTACCCAGTTTGTGTGAGATCCCAACAAACGACATCATTGTGTGTGCTCGACTCACACCACCCTTGTCTACCTTACCTTTGGTCCTCAAATGGTCCGAAACATCTCCAGACCCCTGCAGCGCACCGCCTGTTTTGACGCTCCGCGGGGCGCGGTTCCGGTGTCAGACGCGCCGAGTCCAGGTCGATGGTCGGATCCGTTGGATGCAGGTGGAATCCGTGGATCCGTTTGGGACGATCCTCCACGATGCGGCCAGGGCAAAGGTCAAGATGTAGAATCATTAATGTAGAAGGTAAACGCCTGCAACATGATGCAAATCTAGAAGCCTAGTGATGAACTCGTAACTCGTATGGCGTATGTCTGGAAAGCCTCTAAAAAGTTGGTGAGTACCCCGCAGAAACATGGTAAACTTGCATGCGCTGAGACTGAATACTGAAAATGTAACAGAACACTCTTTCAAAAGGCCCATGCTTTTCCACCTCTCGATCTTTCGTTCCAAAACAGGTCACGCAAAATTCAACAAGGAAGTATATAGCTAGAATGTCACAACATCCTCCATCCTCCGCCCCTAACCAATTTCCGCACCTCAGCCGGCGGCGTGCTTCCGTCGGAAGCGCTCCAGATGTCTGCGGCTGCTTTGCGTCTCCTTGTGATCAGGGCCATGGAGCTCCTGCACGGCTCTCGGTATACTGGAGACGCCAGGTCCAGGTGACAGAAGTGAATCAAAATTTGATGGATGAAAAACCTTTTGCATCCCCTTTACTATCTTTACTCTGTCGAACTGGCTGAAAACCACACGTGAAAACCACACGTGGTTCATAAACTAGACTGATGGGAGACTGCATGGGCTGGAAAGACAATGAACCCTTTTCCACCCTGTCCCGCAGACTGACCTCAGACGTGGTTCATAACTAGAATGGTGGCGGGAGACTGCATGGGCTGTTGACATGTGCGACCTTTCTGGGATGCCCAATGTCAAGGAGCTGCTTTCAGAGCCGTCGGCCCGTGGACAGACATACCCCCCTATCGAACGGTCGAAAGGAAACCGACTATCCATGTGTTGTGGACCTGGGATCTGAGTTGATCTGATGGCCCAGAGTCTCATCTTTCTGGAACCTCTGAGTCTCATCTGCGTAGTCAAGACACCTGCCTTGGCAAACCTGTATCAGTTGCATTGCACCAAAAAGCGGTGCACTCCCACATGGAATCAAAGCGAAGCTCACAACGCACCTGTGCTTGACTCACTGCAATGACCATGGCCATGGCGGTAAACCACTAACCAGAACTCTGCACGTTGCAGAGCTGGGGATTCAGCAAATTAACAGTAGGTCACAATGAAAAGGGTGTTTAGACCTGATTGGAGCTGCTTTTGAGATTCACATACTGTATTGCTTCCATCCGTGGGCGTTTGGCCGCAGGTCATCCCAATTCAATGACTCCGCGAAGTGCTTTTTGGTTCAATGATTCCTGGGCAACGTCTCGAAAAGGTTAAGGTTGCTACCTGTGTGATGGATCTGATGGATCTGAGAGCTATCGAAATCATCCGTCAATGAATCCGCACCAACTCTGCTGGTAATCCTACAATCAGTTTGCTTGGACAAGTCGGAAGTAAATTACCATGAGAAAAGTCTCTATATGTTAACTATGATAGTTGGTGGCAATTTGTATATAAGTCAATTCTGTGGTGTGCTGTAAGTCCAAAGAACCCCTTACGAAGACTGAGCAAGCAAGCAATAGAAGTCCTTTCTGGAGCCAATAACATGAACCAATACTCATGGGCCCATGGGTACCTTCTTATGGTGATCGAATAGAGTGAGTGAGAGAGACAGAGAGACCATTACAAGTCTAAAACGATTGATCGAATTCCGAAGAAACTGCTTCAAACAAACCCTGATCCGGGATGATCCGAGCATCTCGGCGTTCAGACTCCAGACTCTTCCCATCAGTCTGGACTAAACCCAGAATTGTCTCCATTGAATGTGTATGTGTA